GGGTCCGGTCGTGGGGCCTGAACTCTGGGCCTGGGCGCTGTCCCTCAGCTCTTCAGCTCAAGGCTAGCGCTCTACCGCTTGAGCCACAGCGCCACTTCCGGCTTTTTTCTTTTTGTTTATGTGGTGCTGAGGAATCGAACCCAGGGCCTCGAGCATGCAAGGCAAGCGCTCTACCACTGAGCCACCTTCCCAGCCCCTGGATGGCCTTTTCATTTCCAGACTATAGTAATGGAATGTTCATAGGAATAGGAAATAGCCATAGGGAGTAGCCATCCAGGAGAATTCCCCGAGACAAGATGGTAATGAATGACACTTACTTTCCCATACCTTCCCATCCTTCCAAAATCCCCTTTTGAAATTGAGTACCTTTCATATTTAGTTAGTACAGGAAAGTATAGTAAACCAGTAAAGATCATTTACGTCGATTTAATGTTGACAGCTCCTTCTTTGCTCGTTTCCTTTCTCTTTCTCTCTACATCATCTTCTCAAAACTAGTTGAAGCTGGACAGGGTGACCTATACCAGTAATCATAGCATTTGGGAGGCAAATGCAAGGAAGATCATGAATTTGAGGCCAGCTTGGGCTACATAGAGAATTCTTGTCTGAAAACACACACACACTTAATTGGCTTAGATTCATTAAAAGTCAGTCTTGTAGAGCATTTGAACTAAAGTAAAAACATTTCAAAACAAACTCAATAGAGAGTTATAATTATTACTTGCGTAAGTGATACTTTTAAGTGAGGCGCATGTTTATGTTCTTAAATTAAACAAGTAGCCAAGGATCTTTAATGGGCACAAAATCCTTCACATTTTACATGTATTTCATGGCGTAAGCTTTTCCAGAAATATTTTATGTCTATAAAGGAGCGTTTCCTTTAGTTACACTGAGGGATAAAATATGTGATGCCAATAATAAGTGTGTTGGGAAGGCAGGAATGGAAGGGGAATTGTATTGCTGCCTCTTGCACATCCTGAGCTCTCTGTGGTAAGTTAGTGAGATGCAGTGACAGAGGGAGTTTCAT